TTTATTTGCGGTAAGAGACTCCGAGTTAGGACATACAGATACAGTAAAGATGACAATCGATACAGGTGATCATCTTCCCATTAAACAGCAGGCGTATCGAACACCATTAACGTCTAGTGACGAGATGTTACGTAATAATATAATAAAAGAAAGCAACAGTCCTTGGTCGTTTCCTATTGTTTTAGTAGATAAGAAAGATGGAACAAAAAGATTTTGCGTTGATTTTCGAAAACTTGATAAAATCACAAAGCCAATGAGCTGGTCTTTGCCCCTCATCGATGATCTGTTGAGTCGATTAGACAAGTCGAAACATTTTACAACTTTGGATATGAAATCAGGGTATTGGCAGGTTTTGGTAGACGAAAAAGATAAAGAGAAGACAGCGTTTGTCTGCCATAGAGGGTTGTTTGAATTTAACGTTATGCCATTTGGAATTAACAATTGTCCGAGTATTTTCTCACATTTGATGACACGCGTTCTAAAGGGGCTCGAAAATTTTGCAATAGCCTATGTTGATGATATACTGATATACTCTCGTTCGAGGCAAGAACATTATGAACATATTAAGATTGTTTTTGATAGGTTAAGACAACATGGACTGAAATTAAAACCATCTAAATGTAATTTTTTCCAACAAGAAACAAAATATTTAGGATTTGTGATCACTCCTAAAGGAATTAAAACTGATGAAGATAAAGTTTGTGCGATACAAATTATGGATCAGCCTCGTACTGTAAAAGAAGTTAGGAGTTTTATGGGAATGTGTAGTTATTATAGACGATTTATACCAAATTTTTCGAAAATTGCTGAACCTATAATCAAATTAACAACAAAATATGCCAAGTTTAAATGGACATCTGAATGTCAAACCGCTTTTGAATTTTTAAAAGAAAGTTTAACGACGATTCAATTATTAGCTTATGCAGATCCGAATTTACCATATATACTTTACACGGACGCGAGTAATTCGGCGATAGGAGCAGTTTTAGTACAGGTACATGAGGATGAAAACAAAGAAAAAGTAGAACGGCCAATTTTCTTTTTATCACATAAACTAACAAATTCACAAATGAAGTGGAGTGTAGTAGAACGTGAGGCATATGCAATTCATTACGCATTACAAAAGTTGGATTATTATCTACATAATGCCAAATTTACCATACGAACTGATCATAAGCCGCTGCAATATTTGTTGGAATCACCAATGCAAAATAAGAAAATTCAGTTATGGGCATTGGGAATTTCGGGATTTGATTGTAAAATAGAATATGTCCCGGGAAAGCAAAATTCTATAGCCGATCTTCTTTCTAGAGTTCCGTCAAAGCAAGTATCAATTGATAATGATAGTTCCAGTGGAACAATCGAACCCCGCGCCAAAAATAATATGTTTGAGATTAGTGCATTCAATTCAAATAAATTTGATCCGCAAAAGTATGCGAAATGTTATTTTCCAGATAAAGATTTAACGGATAAAATAGACCTAAATCTGGATAATTTTGACATAGAAAAAGAACAAAGTGAACATCCGGAAAATCAACCCGATAAGGAAAAGTTACTGCGAAAAGCTCAATATGTAGAAGACCCATCGAGCTCCGATTCTAGCTCAAATATAGAAGCTAGGTAGTCCGATGAGAATGTACCTTTAGTCCAATTTGGTACACGTTTAAGGCGGGAAAGAAATGATAGCACATCAGGCGAGGAAGATGTTCCTTTAATGGAATTATCCAAGCGTCTGAAGGCTCATAATGATCAAAATAATGAAAATGAAAAGAATAATGATATATCCAAACAAAAAAAATCGTCGAACAAAAAGACGAAACAGTTGTTAAAAATTATTGCCAGTTTCTTATAATATTATATTTTCTTGCGTACATAACTAATTAATTAAGGTGATTTTAAAATAGTTAAGAATTAAAAAAAGGGTCTTTGCATAAAGTTCTCACCAATTATACTCTTACTAAGTTGCCCCCGAAATTAGAAAATGTTAGAGAAATTTCTATGGAAAGTTTGATTTATGAATTACATAATTTGAGGCAATTGGAAGAAGACAAGGCCTGGCCAATCTGGAATTATATAATAATATTTATTGGCTCATCGCTTTTATTTTTTATTGGAATTGTATGTTGCTATAAACGCAACCCAAATTTTAAAAATTTATGTCATTGTTTTGGAATGAAAATCTGTGGAAATCGAACAGAGACCAGTGCAGAGAAACCCTTGGCTGTTCCTGAAAAAGGCGAGTTGAAAATTGATGGAGAAGAATTAGAATCTCTCTCGCCACATACTACAAACTCCTTGTCAACACCTGAAATTGGTACCAAGGACGACAACCGTTCCCATCACTCTTTGTAACAGAATTCGGGAAGAACAGACACAGACCGGATTACAAGAGATGTTTAAGGCATCCGCGTAAGAACTGACATGTGAAAAAAAATCATGAACGGTGTGTTTTAAATAACAATGTTTCCTGTACACTGATGAGTTGTTATTATCGACCAGTGTATGTGATTTATTTTAAATGTTCTGCTATGTGAAAGAATAACTCATGAAGTAGTGACTTCGTGTGTATAATAATAAATAGCAGTTATTTGTGCCCGTGAAGTTCAACAGCTTATCTAGATATTGTGATTGTGTCATACATAGCGATATATATATAAACATTTATTGATAGTGTTATCCCTATTCAGTCCAGTAGAACACTGCAGCAGTCCAGCACGTCGAGGAAGCTTCCTGATATCTAAATGTGGAAGTGATTATTTAGTGTTAATTGTTACACTGTCATCTATTATCATTGACAATTAACATAGGTGGACCTTTCCACCTCGGCTGTTTACAAGAATGTCAACTGTGTGACCCAACACGCGGGAGCTGAGTTTTTATGACAGAAAATAAACCATAGAGATAAAACTCATTAGGTCACGTGGTCTATAATATGTGTAGCAGAAAACTGTTTATCAACAGTGGATAAATGTGTGAAGAACCGGAAGAAAAGTCAATCATGAACGCTTAAAAGTTCTGTTACACATTCAAGTTAAAGAAAATTATCATAAGACATTGATGTGCATGGAAGAACTTTTGGATAGCATTTGCATGAGATTTTTGATTATGTGTTGTTCTTTGATGATTTTGTTTTATGATTTTATTGAATGGTAATCGTATAGTAATCCTAAATAGTTGCATGAATACTTATATAATTATATTGATGTTGACTTAGAAAAAAAAAAAAAAAATTCGAAAATTTTCAAGGAGTCTCATAACTAATAAGTAGCACAAATCCTAAAGCAGGGGAGGTAATGTAGTAATATGGAGGGAAAGAATTTGTGCTTTGAAACATCTATGTAAAATAATATTAGGATTTTGATTAATTATTCTCCATTGTCAATATATTAGTTATGGTATGAGTTAAATTCTGTAACGCAAATTAAATTGGCTATGAATATTGTGACAATAACCAGACATGGTGTCTGAAGACAAGAATGCAGAAATATGATGGCTAGAACAATAGCGTTATCTTTCATAGTATTGATTCTAACTTCATAACCACAAATATGGAAGGTATATGCCTGTTATTTTGATACGTTAACTGAGCTATAGATTAATGAGCATGTTGGTCATTCACATTTTTCTTTGTTATAAAACATATATCATATTTGTTGACCAAATAAGGTAACAATCCCTGGCCATGTTCAGTTTGGGGTGCATGTCCTTTCCATATTTAGAACTTATTTGTTATCAGTCTTTAGATTAACACCTCAAACAAAGGAATAGGCACCTACAAAATAGGGTGGGGAAATAGCATTCGGCAGAGCTCACTCCGCCGGCCATACCAGTCATTTAGTTATTTGACACTAGGAAGAATTGTAATAAAGTATTTTAAGAAAAGAACCTGAACTGTAGTTGTAACTTCGTCACGGAAGAAAACACAGCGTGAAGATTGAATCTTGAAGATTGAACAACTGATAGTACTACATATTGAGCAGGGATGGCCAACGCCAAATGTTGCGCACTTGACGGTGGTTAGTGGTACATTGCATTCTTGTGATAATAATAAAGTAAGTTAGAAAGTCTACCCGTTACTTTTAGCGATATAATCTTCTTTTACATTAATCTGTATTCAGTTAAAATAGGCATGCTTAGGAACAGATGCATTTATGTCCATTGAAATAGACATGGGTGCAAATATTATCTGATGTATCTTAATTTTAGTGTGAACAAATTTGCGTATGGTATGTAAAAGGTTGGTCAATACTGTTCAAATTGTCGACTACAGGGTTACTACTCTTAAACAGATTTTGTTTTCTAATGATTTGGGGTCAGGAGAAATAGAACCGCATCGTTTTTCGCCTCTCCTAGGTTATTCACCTTTTCCACTTCACAACCTGCCATTGATGAGTTATTCTCAGTTTTCCGAAAACTTACCCTGTGACGGATATTAGCGGACACTACCCCTTTCTCCATATAGCACTGATTTTTAACGATGTCGTTTAAATTTAGTTTAAAGCAGTATGATAGTCGTATCGTTGATCAGGTCTGTGAGCTTGATGGGAAGCATTGGGGTCAAACGAGGAAGAACCCCATGAAAAATCAATAGTTACCTCCCCTTATTTATCGGGTTTTATTTCAAATTTAATGCAAGGCACTTGGGTCATGATATTCCGTTTTTTATAAATTCATTGGACTCGGAAAAGGTTGGGTCCTGTTGAGTTCCAGTAATCAAAGACTGGTTGTTCTAGAGATATATTATGTGTCCTAAACAGTTTTTGAACAGGATTTAAACTTTTTTGGGGGGAGGATCCTAGACCCATAACAAATTTGGTCAACATCCATGTTTTATATTCGGATAAGCTGCTATCGCGACAACGGTGCTGAATGAACGTATTTCCAAGCTCTGCGTAGATCTATAATTTTATTTGCTGGATATTGTTTTGACTTGTATTTTGGACTTTGAGTTATGTTTTGTTAAGTGTTTTGTTGATCATCTGTAATTTAGTTAATCATACCTGCACGGTCACTGATATTCTTTCTACAATACACTATGTTATCTTGGGGGTATCCAGCTGTCCAAATCCATTCATCTCCAACCACTACAGCGTTTGGCCATGAAGCGTCATTAAACCTACAAACAGATAAAAGATAGTCTGGAAAAAACAGATTGTCATTGGCTGTGGCTTATCCAAAATGAAAACTTTGTTCACCAAAATACCTTCAAAAAATCTAAGTTTTGTCATGTTCAGAAGCTTTGGGAAATCTTTTAATGACTGTAGCCTCTATCGCGTTCAAAAGCTTTGAACAGAGGTTACGAAGCGCTGAATATCGATCGAGTTCGTCATCTTGTGACTCCATAGATTTCCGACGTGGTTTCCCCTTGTCAGTGGTGCAGAACGGAGGGCCTGACAAGCATAACTGTCTAGTCCTTCGGATTAGACGAAAAACCGAGGTCCCGTGTATACATTGGAATGCACGTAAAAGATCCATTGGCAGTTGGAATTCGATATAAGAGTAGGCGATAGTGCCGCTGCCCGGACAAAATTTCCCTCATAGCCCGTCTTCTTTAGCCCAGTATAGGAGCAGAACAGTAGGACGTTAAACACCTTTTCATTTCATTTCATTTGACTCCATAGATTCTATCGCGTTCACGGGGTCGTGGCAAAGAAGGCATAATTCAGGAACTGTAGGTGACAAACAATTAAATATCTAAGTATAAATTAAAATAAAAATTTATAAACCTGAATGCAAGTCACTTCCTATACATTTATACTAGACTAAATATGCGTGTTTTGGTATATTTTATTGTAGGTTCCGGAAAATAGAGCTACAGGCCTTTTAAATAAATAACCATAATATCTCACCCAGGTTCATTCCATCCTTGCTTATGTTTATTGTAACATTTCCATTCTGCACTGGTTTCAATACCATTACTCAATGTTAGCTTTATTCCAGCATTTCCATTGGTACTTTGGCACTTTATGGCAATAAGTTGTGTATTCCCAGGCATACTGATAGTTGCAGGTTGATCCCAGTAACTGATATTGTCATTCTTGTACAATAAACCATCAACATAAAAATGCATAATATTCTTACAGGCAACTTCTCCAGTTATAGCTTCTGGAGCTGAAATTTAATTGTTGAGAAACGTTAAATTAATAGTACCTTGTATCTCAGAAATAAGATGAAATAAAACGAAATCGGGTTAACGTCCAATTGTTCTGCTCCATCGCGGCAAATGAAGACGGAAATTCGCCAAACAGTTGTGCTATGAGGGACATTTTGTCGGGACAGCGGCGCTACGGCTTGCTCTTATTTCGATTTCCTACTGCCATTGGATCTTTCTGGTACACGCCTATGTGTGCACTGTCTTTGTCACGCCCTTCGTCCTGCACCACTGACAACAAATTATTTATTACTGATGACAATGAATATTTTTAAACGGGTTATAGCTCCAATTTTTGAAACCTTAAAATTGTAGCATAGCCGGCCGAATATGGAAGAGAAACCACAGACCTACTAAATCCCACATGTAAAACCATACGTGCTACCCATTAGGTGATATTTTGAGATCTTAAAATAACATATAGCGGAAAAAGAGATACTGGCCATTAATTAATCTTTTTGGTTGCCATAAACACAGCATACCTGATTTAGTAATTGAACTTTTGTGGGTATGGCTAATCCTTACGTCATTAGGCGAAATTAACCAGTTCAATAATTAATATGAGAAATCAGGGAATATAAAAGGTTAAGATTAGTCATAGTAAATTAGACGACCATTTGAATGCTGAGAAGACCATGATTTTAGGTTTTCCAGAGTGTGGTTGAGAGAATGAAAGACGTTATTTTTTTAAGTATTTACTATTGCTTATACACTGTGTATCCTGCTTCGATGTGAAAATATATATCAGAAACTCTAGTTGTCCCTGACATCTTTACGATTTGACTAGCATATTTAAGTAATTAAGTAGAGAAATCCAATAGTATTCACGCCGGTCAAACCCAGACGATCAAAGCCAAAACAAAAGAAGTGTAGCATGGATGTCACACGTCGGATGTGGTAAGCCTTCGGTCCCGCGTCCCATATTCAATCGACGGGTAGTGATACACTACTGCTGGAAATGTTACATCATGTTATACTCAGAACGAAAATGATCTTTTATATCCCTGACATCTAGCTATTAATTAGCCGATTGGTTGATTATGCCCAAAGTCCTGTCTTAACCACAAATTAATTCCGGTTATAATAAAAATGTAGCTAAAAGAGAACTTGTTAACGTTTGTTTCAATATGGTATAATGGGCAATGCAATTACTATCAGCTTTATTGACAACATTCAGTAGGTTTATTACTGCAACGTTTCAATGAGGTTACTCCAACGGTTATCATAAAGCTGTCTGTTATTATAGATGGCTCTCACTAAATACTCTGTGAAGTATGACCGGAGTTTCAAAGTAAATAAGAGTCTACAAGATTTTCCTCCCCCCCCCCTGTGTATATCAGCAATTTTTTTTTATTACTTCCGCATTGACTTGAGGGATATAGTTTGCTATTTAATTTCACCATGATGTCGTCTCATTAAAAGAGACACTGTAGACCACAGAGAAACCCGACGCAGGGAATTGATTTTAAAATATTCGTTGAGTATGAAATCTCAGGAGGTAATATTTTCTCGATATGCTAACAACATCGTATGGATTTAAATGGACCAATATTGAATTCAATTTAATATAAGCCATTTCAGTATCTTTTAATGGGCATATATATAATTTCAATAAACATATATATTTTTGTTTGAATTATTTTTAAGACAAGCTCCGGTCAATCGAATAACCTATCAGTTCTTTCTTAGTCTCATTTTATAAGAGACTGATTACATTAAACATACATTATGCAAGAGCTAAATCTGCCTATTGCAGGCCTGAAATGTTTTCTAAAATATTAATTAAACATTAATTAACTGACCCAGGCCGTAATCAAGCCATATTTTGATTTAATCTAAAAAATGGAGGAGCTAGGCTTAGCTTCGAACAGCCAGTACCGTGGTTGCAGTTATTGCACAAGTCTTATCAAACCTTCAAAGGCTTATATCTTCGCACGCAATGGAGTAATTTGAATTACATTATCTATTTTCAAACTATTATAGCAAGAATGGCTAACTGTTTATCCAAATCTTACATAATGTATCTTTAAGCGTTTGGTAATACATTTTTTGCTTTAGTTCAACACTACTACGCCCAATAGTGCATGTGGAGTATTAGACTTGATAGTGTAGCTGTTTTAGTTTAATTGTCTTACCGATAACTCTTCTACAATAAACTGTATCATCCTGCGGGTATCCAGCTGACCAAATCCAATTGTCTTTAATCACAACGGCGTTTGGCCAACCATCATCATTAAACCTATAGCAAGGATACGTGTTAAGAAATAAATATCGTTTAGGCGTAGCCCAATATCGTTATGCCTTGGCATTCCACAGATGTAGCAGTTACCCCCAACAAATCTTTATATGTTCAAATAAGTCCTTAGTCAAGCACGCTTTTACGTTAAGTTGCAAAAAGAAATAAAACATGTTTTTTACTGACGTTTTCAGTTCTCTTGAACCACTTCAGGCCATATTAATATAATATACTCTTTGAAAAAAGTAGGGATATTCAGAAACAATACAAAACTGCGGAAATGCACTTCTTTTTTAATTAGAGGTAACCAGTGTATGTTAATAACAGGCCAATTGCCTACACATGGACATAAACAGTTCATATTGGCGGCTTATCTGACGGCCCGATTTCACTTGCAAAGAGGTGCACTCTCATATCAAAAGTGAAAATGGACGTTTTTGATTGTTTCTTAATAATGTGTAAATGCTCACCAATCCTTAGACATTCAGCAATTCGTCGTGACATGCCCCTAATCACGATTTGGGGCAATCTGACCCACTCCTTTTGCAGTGCTACGGCCAATTCTTGCAGTGTTGTCGGTTGACGTTGACGTCTTCATATTAAAGTAATGTGACACACTAAAGCAAAGATACGCTAAACAGTAAATCTTATGGAAGAACCGATTGGAAAGCAAACATGGATAGGATAAACCAGCAAGCGGCAGTTTTCATCAACCCTTCCTTAAAGTGTCAAATTTGACAATGAACCCCTCCGACGTGCATGGCGCTATGACGTGTCGCATATGCAACTCAGCGGTTCTGTTGGAGCGATAAGTTCTTCATCTGTGAACATACTCTCAAAGCATGTGAAGTGTCCATGACTATTTATCATATCACAACCTGCATAGGTATTTGCATTTCAATATCCCCTACTTTTTTTTAAGAGTATATAATGTAGTATAAGACAATGCCATTGCGTTGGAGGAGCATACTTACGAAACAGGAAAATATATCATATTAATTAAGTAAAATATAAAATTCAACATTATTAATATTCTGTCATCCAATATTCCGATTTAAGAAGGGCATACATCTTTTAATAAAATTAATTTCTTTACATTCTTATAAATGAATTTTCCTTATAGAGGGAAAACCTTGAATACACCTCATCCACATTTATCCAAACGGGTACTGACTTGGATTGTTCTGTTTTCCGGGTTCCTTCGATGGAGACTCATTCTAAAATTTAATTGGTCACCAGTTTTCCCAATATATTTTTGAGAACACCAATTGCATATTATTATATATATCATATAATTGGATTTACAATTCATATTTGACTTCACATGAACTTTTGTATCTGTAGTCATCTGAATTGAATCGCCCTCAATTAAATATGAGCATAAATGGCATCATGAGTCCCCACACTTAGATACTGAAGACCTGGAAATATCTGAATTGAATCTGCATTTCGTCAGAATCTTCGCATATTTGGAGGTGGTTTCCGACTATTTATCAGTCTCCTATTTTTAAGGATAATTTTGTCGTAATAAGAAATTTCATAATTCACAAAATCTGGAGTATTTAACTTTATTATTAAATACAACAGTACATACTCTTAAAGCCATATTGTAGGGAATAATATTACGTTTTATATGTGATGGGTGACATGTATGAAAATAAGGATATTAGTGCGTATCTTATTTTAGTTGGATTAATTGGAAATGGAATGTGACATAACT